TTTTTTAAGACAGATAGAGCTTTCGTTTGGTGGTAATCGCCATTGGGTTTTTTTTTTACATTTTTTGCACTATAAATGGAAAAAGACTGCAAATTTGAAAAAGAAAAGTGTGTTTTTCTTAGTTTCTGTTATAAAATTTTGCAAATAAGTAATTTTTCTTCATAAATTTTAATATAAACAGTTATACTGCAATATTATTTGGTAAAATAGCCCAATGTATATTATTTGGTCTGTGAGAATATTGTAGAGTCTGCAAACTACAATCATTAAATATCAATCACGCCTGATGTATTGACGGCCTTTCTCATTTCTTGAAGCCCTAACATGCCAGGACAGTACAAATACCTCCTAAATGACCCCTTTTTGGAAAGTGGACAGTCCAAGGTATTTAGCAAGAGACATGGTGAATTTTTTGAAGTTGTAGTTTTTTTCCACAATTCTTTGGAAAATGAAGAACTTATATAATTTTTGTGGGGAAATAAAAACAAATTTTATTTAAGTTATTTTTCACACATGGCATAGGCATACTTGCACACCCCAAAACACATCCTGCTAATCCTCCTGAGTATGGCGATACACCATGTGTGAGACTTTTTCACAGCCTAGCCACATAAACAGGTCCAACATCCAAGGAGAACCTTCAGGCGTTATCCACTTTAAGACCAGGACGCCTTCTGACACTTTTTGTTTACATGTAAAAATCAGTATTTTTGCTAGAACTTAGAACCCCCCAAACATTATATATTTTTAGCAGAGGCCATAGAGAATAAAATAGTGGGTTTTTAAAATGTCCATGTCACATGGTATGTGCGCAGTGTTTTTTCAAACGCAATTATACACACTAATGCAAAAATTCACTTTAATATACACCGCTGAAAAAAATTAAAGGAACACTTTTTAAATCAGAGTATAGCATCAAGTCAAACTCCTGGGACATTGATCTGGTCAGTTAAGCAGCAGAGGGGGTTGTTAATCAGTTTCAACTGCTTTAGTGTTAATGAAATTAACAAGTGCACTAGATGGGACAAAATGAGACTCCGCAGTCTCTGGTCATCTCCTGTACTATGTCCGCAGTCTCTGGTCATCTCCTGTACTATGTCCGCACCCAAAAACAGGAATGGTTTTACAGGTGGACGCCAGTGACATTTTTTTTTCCTACTCATCTTTTCTAACTGTTTTTCACTAGTAGCATGAGGTGATACCTGGACCCTACAGAGCATGCACAGGCAGTCTGACTCCTCCAAGATGGCACATCAATTCGTGCTATTGCCAGAAGGTTTGCTGTGTCTCCCAGCACAGTCTCAAGAGCATGGAGGAGATTCCAGGAGACAGGCAATTACTGTACGAGAGCTGGACAGGGACGTAGAAGGTCTTTAACCCATCAGCAGGAACGGTATCTGCTCCTTTGTGCAAGGAGGAACAGGATGAAAACTGCCAGTGCCTTACAAAATTACCTCCAGCAGGCCACTGGTGTGAATGTCTCTGACCAAACAATCAGAAACAGACTTCATGAGGGTGACCAGAGGGCCAGACGTCCACTAGCGGGCCCTGTGCCAACTGCCAGGCATCATAGAGCTTGATTGGCATTTACCACTGAACACCAGAATTGGCAGGTCCACCACTGGAGCCCTGTGCTTTTCACAGATGAGAGCAGGTTCACCCTGAGCACATGTGACAGATGTGAAAGGGTCTGGAGAAGCCGTGGAGAATGTTATGCTGCCTGCCAATGAATGGCCCCCACACTCGCCTGACCTAAATCCAATAGAACACCTCTGGGATATCATGTTTCAGTCCATCTGACGCCGCCAGGTTGCACCTCAGACTGTCCAAGAGCTCAGTGATGCCCTGGTCCAGATCTAGGAGGAAATGCCCCAGGACACCATCCGTCATTTCATTAGGAGCATGCCCCGACGTTGTCAGGCATGCATACAAGCACGTAGGGGCCATACAAACTACTGAGTACCATTTTGAGTTGCTGCAATGAAATTTCAGCATAATTGACTAGCCTGCTGCATCATTTTTTCACTTTGATTTTCGGGGTGTCTTTGAATTCAGTCCTCTGTAGGTTGATAATTTTAATTTCCATCAAACGATGGGGCATCCTTATGTTCCTAACACATTACCCAGCCCATATTAGTATAGATATCCAGCATGAGATTTTTCCCTATCGAGATCTGATGTGTTTTCAAAGTGTTCCTTTCATTTTTTTGAGCAGTGTAATTTAATGCACACAAACACAGTATAATATCAATTTTTTAAAAAAAATATAAAATATGGTGTTGCTCCAAGTAAATAGATACCAAACATGCCACGGTTTAAAATTGCGCATGCTTGTGAAATGGCGCCGAACTTTGGTAACTGCATATCTCAAAAGACATTTTATAAACATTTACAGGTTACCAGTTTAGAGTTACTGAGGAGGTCTGGTACTAGAATTATTGCTCTCACTCTGTTGTTCACGGCAATACTTCACGTGTGGTGCGATCGCCGTTTACACATGCGTACAGGACTAACGCCATGCATTTGCCTTTGCACGCGAGCATGGAGGTGCTTTATATTTTTTTATTTCTTGGTGGGATACTGGTACACTTACAGATGTTTTTCTTCATTTGTACATTGCTACATTTGTCAATCGTCCATTGGCGAACACCGAGAGAGCTATAGGTGTCTTAGGTGTCTTCTTCAGTAGAAGCAGCAGCAGGAAGTGCCTGCTTGATGCTGAATCGCAGGAAAGAGTGGAGTGCACAATGGCCAAACTCCATCTAGGGAATGATGACACATGCTCAATCCCTCAGCATTAACCCCTTTCTTGTTAAGACCAACAGAAAGCTGGAAATTAAACAACATGCAGTGGTGCTAGTAACACTTCACAAAGTGAGTCCTCAGACTTAACCACTTCCCGACCGGCCGTTGTATATAAACGGCCGGACGGTGGCACTGCAGGGTCGGGTGGCCGTCTATAAACGGCCTCCCCGCACCCTGCTTGTGCACGCTCCCTGGGAGCGCGCAGCACCGCGATCCGGTGCCCGCTGTGTCCTCCGGACACAGTGAAACACCGATCGTCGGACGGGACCTCTGTACGAGGTCCCGATCATGTGATCACTGATTGGCGAATCAGTGATCACATGCAAAGTAGTAAGCAAGATGTCACTTCTGACATCATTGCTTACTATGTGTGAAATCTGTGAATGATCACAGAGGTCACATGGTACAAGGCTATTCACAAAAGCCTTGTACCATGTGACAAGCTGTGACCAATCACAGCTCACTCTGTATTTCTCAATGAGTGCAGGAATGCACACAGAGAGAAAGAGAAATGATTGCTTTTACATCCTATATGGGTGTAAAAGCAATCAGTGTGTAAAAAAAAAAAAAAAAAAAATCTTTATCATCCCCCACAAGTAGTACAGTGTCACCATGGTGACACTGTACTGCTAGGGTGACAGTATGTAAAAAAAAAAATAAAAATAAAAAATAATAATATAAAAAAATAAAAAATAAAAATGTAAAAAAAAAATGTTTAAAAATTATAATTTTTGCTTATAAACTAATTTGGATTTTTTTTGTTTTACTAAAAAAATAACGGAATAAATTTTGGCTACGATTTATTATGAAATATTATTTATTTGCAAAATGTTATAAAAAAAAAAAACACTTTTTTAAAAAAGTTTTGGACATTTCATTTACATAGCAAAAAAAATACAAATCCCAGTGGTGAATAAATACCACCAAAATAAAGCTTTATCTATCTAAAAAAAATGGCAAAAAATTCATTTGGGTACAGTGTTGCATGACCGCGCAATTGTCATTCAAAGTGTGATAGCGCTAAAAGCTGAAAATTGCCCTGGTCAGGAAGGGGGTAAAAGTGTCCGGTCTGGAAGTGGTTAAAGCAGTGTCATGGTTATCAATCTGTTGTGCTTTGTAGCTTATTTTTACAGTACATGTAGGGTCTGGAAAGTGCAACAATGCAGAGCCCAGTGTCTGAAGGTCACATTCCAGACTAGAATTGCAATATCCAGTCCAGTAGGATCTGGATACAGCACTCCAAAGTCAGGATAAAAAAAAAAGGCCAATCTGGACAGAGCCCAGCTCAGAAGTGATGTAGCTAGTAGTCTTGATTGAAGGGGGAAAAAAAAGGTAGCTAACAAAATGGTGATACTTTTCTCATGAGTGTATAAAAAAAAAGGCATCTACCTTCCTAGAACACTAACAAATAATTGACATATGCTGGGAGTAGGAGGGATTTCCTGGGCTGGGTCACAATTTACTATGCCTGTAAGTGGCAGTATAACCCTACAGTTTCCAAATTCCTATGTGCCTGAGTCTTTTAAAGTAGATTTAATATCATATGATAAAATCTCATACAAGCTTTAACATTGCTTTTACAGCAATATCCGGAGATCGTGCTGTGAAGGTCCTAGTTCAGGCAAGTTCCCTTATATATAATAAAACAAATATGCAGCGCTGCATATTTGTTTTATTATCTATTGTGAGGATTAAGGGGTTTTATCCTTTATGGTAGCAGCTTTTTATTTTTTATTGTAGTGCACTCACTCTGATCCTCTGTTTTTGAAAGTTCCCTTATATAATGAAGCTTTATCCTGTCTCCAAAATGTGCTCCAGCATTGTTACGCTGTCATATGGGCTTCCAATGTGAATTACAGGTCCTTTTTATGTACATTAGGGGCCTGTGTCAACAGGCGTTAGAATGTGTTGATGAGTTTGCTTTTGACATTAGTGTGAGATACTTCTGAAACCATTCTGAATTCACTGACAGGTGCATTCGACTTGCAGTTGCCTCCTTTTGGCCTGCTTTAGGCTGCTTTTGCATTTCCTTAGACTGGAATGGGGAGAGAAGCAGTTCTGATAAGGAAAAAAGTCAGTCACCACTGACCTGTACAAAGGCATGGAACACTTAACACCCACCATGGGAAACCCTAATATATTGATCCCTTAATTTACCTGGTTCTTTATCTTTGCCATCAAAGTTATTATCAACACTAACCTTCTGCGTCTTTATTCTTTCTGCAGTAATTCATTCGGAATACAAAGGCATCCAAAATACAGGCAACGATGATGGTTATTACAACCTGTGATAGAAGAAGGAATAATTTATGCAACAAGAATGATGGCCATCCACATAAGGATAAACATGGAAATCATAGATTTAATTGTTTAAAATAATATTTTACATGAAAACCACTGTATGACATAACAATGAATGATTTGGTTAATTGGGCAGGATTTTTCACCAGGACCCAATGAAAACAATCACTTATTAATTATTAGGATCCTTAAAACAAAACATGAACACCTTTAGGCTCAGTTCACACTAGCGTTAAAAACAGATGTTTGAGGGGCATTTTTAACGCTCCTCAAATGCCTATGAAAATGATACACCTGGCAGCACACAGTGCTGTTCACACTGAAGCATTAATGTCATGTCAAAATTGACGCCTCATGTCCAGTCAGGAGGAGTTGTAGCCTTTCAACACCTCCCATTCAAGTCTATGGTTATTTTCCTCAAACCCCTGGTAGGCGTTTGCGAGGCATTAATACAATTCATAAGTTCATTATACAGTGGGTGTTTGTGGTGTGGTTTTAATGCTTGTAAAACACCTATAAAATGCCTCAAAACCTTGCATAGGGCATTTGTTTAACACTTCTAAAACGCATAACTCTATAGGGGCGTTTGGGAAGAAGTCAAGTGTTACCTAGCCCTAATGGTCATATTAAAGTAGTGGATAGAAAATTCAATAAGGATTTACCATACATCCTCTGTGAATCATTCACCTGAATGATACAAACCTTTGTCATCACTATATGCTATAAACATTTTCCTGATCCAAAAGGATTTAAATATATATCTCAGAGTTCTTCATTGGTAATTACAACTACATAAAACATCCCAATGATTCCTTACAATGGCTGACAGTTCTTATTTCTCTATGGCTGAATTCATACATGGGTATTTTTTAGCTGGAAGCGCTAACAAATCCCATACTTTTAAACTATGCTAGTTCACATATGAGCATCCAGGCACCTGTAGCTCGATGCCTGAGACTCAAAGAGGTACACGAACTACTTATGAAGCAAAATGGGGCATTTTCCTCTAAAGTAACTAGTAATCCATTGCCTTGAACAAATGCTCAAGCCTGAATAAGCCTTAAAAAATTCACAAAAATGCACAGAAAAAAAACTATCCAAAATTCACCATGTTCCTTAATTTGAATTTGTTCTCATTCACTGGTTATCTCTATACATCCAACAGATTTTACGACTGTGAATATATTCGCTTTCAGGAAACTTTTACAAGTTTAGCCATAAATATAAGCATTTTCCACAACCTATAAAATCATTTTCTGGGGGTACAGTTTAGGACCCAGGCTTCCATTAATTAAGGCCAAGAGTTATATGCTGCAACCATAAGGTGAAGACTTTGGCAAACAAAGCTGTTTGACAGCCCATTTAACCCCTCCCAATCATGCAGTGCAGCACACAGGCTTCCATTAATGATGACCATGGGATGCGCCCATGCAATACAACTGAGTGGTAGGCAACACAGAAAACAATGCCAACAGGCCAAATAAGGAAATTAAATCCCCAAACTGAAAGGGAAGCTTCAAGAAACTGACCTCAGCGGAGACATAATCATCCATCTGGTAAAACTCACCTGTACAGAGAACCAGGTGGCAGCTTTGCAATCTGAGAAACAGATGCCTGGTGCTGAAAAGCCCAAGATATGGTGACTGAATGAGTAGAGTGAGTTTAACAGCAATTGGAGAATTCCCATTCTTCCCGGCATAAACATTAGTGATAACCTGACTAATCCAGACAGAAATAGTGGAACAAAACACAGGACACCCCTGCCGAAATCCGCAGGAGGGAGAAAAAGAGAATTTGAGTTTCAGATAGAAGCTATGACTTAGACACAAACTGGCACCGCACCATATCTAAACGGTGTAGAGAAATGATTTTGGAATGCTTTGGAGATGCACAAATTGAAGACAGGACAATGTCCTCATTTAAGGGGGGGGGGGGGGGGGGGAACTATTTTGAAGTGATAGGAGGCTATGAAGAACAAGGATGGATTCTTTACAAGATAAGCCCGTCAGTTCTGAGCCAATCCCTGAACAAAGGCCTTTACCTGCAAATAAATGATCAGAGGTCTCTGAAAGAGATTAGCCAAGGCTGAAACTTGACCCTTCCAGCCCAGACTTAAGAAAGGACAATACACATCCCCTGGAGTATTCCACTTATACCTTACACTTTTTGTCATCTCAACAAGGTACTGCTAAGTAAATCTGTTGGGGGGAGTGTACACTTGTCTGGCTTTGGGGCTGTCTGCATACAAACAAACATCCTGTACCAAATGAATAACCAGTAAAAACCTAGCAAGTTTCATAGATTTGGGAAGGAATACCATACTGGTGACCTTAGGTTCAGTTAGGGAAGGTTTACATTCAAGAACATTACTGGTCTGTTTTAGCTTTGGTGTGATTGGAAGCGACCGCCCATCCTCCCGGGAGGGCATATCCCCAGACCCACCACTCCAAGGCTCAGGGCTCCCTTCTTTGGGAAGTACCACCAGGTGTGAACCGCTTAAGGAAAGTATACCCCTTCCTCCATGTACAGGGTCTTCAGGGACTGGGTCACACAGGTGCGGATCGCCACTGCCTTTGACCTATAGAGCACCTTGTGGCTAACCGCACCTCGCTGTACTACTATACTAAGGGTGAGTGTCAATGTAGGGTTCCAGTGCCAGAGGCAAAGTTATAGGCCAGCCCTGAATCTTAATGCATTAGGGCCCTAGTATGTTCCCCATGGCAGCTGCCCAGGGGGGCACCTATCCAGAAGCTGCTTGATGTAGCTGCAATGACTGCAGGTGTACCTGGGTTGATAAAAGGGTTTTTTTCTCAGTGGGAAGATCAGTGAGGAATCTTCTTAGTTTTCCAATTAGAATTAGTAATCATACACTACTTGCTTACAGTAGACAGAGGTCACCCATAACCTAAGGACACTATAAAAAACCTGAGGATTACTGGAAGTGGGAGGAGTTATATGGTATGTCTTAACAGCTTTGTTTAAAAGTGTCCTTACCAAAGATGACAACATATAACAAGGTCTTAATAAATGGACACCTATGTTCTGTACATTTAAGAAAAATGGTTATCTAATGTATGTATGTACGTACATACTCACCATAGTGACAATATAAAACACCATGAAGTAAAGGCGTGCCCAGTGTGATGTCTGAGAAGTAACTCCTTCCTGTACACAAAACAAATTTCATTTCACAAAATAATTAATATGGGTCTTTTACACTATATGCTGAAGTACCATTCAAAAAAAAAAAAATAATCACAATAATATGCAATGCATACAGTATATTTTCAAAACATGTGCTGTGCTGCGCTACGTTTGCACCAATCACAGTTGAATTACCCCCAGAGTTGAGGGGTTTGCGTTTAGTTGCCTTATCATTTATTTAGAGGTGTTTATTTGAGCATTTTCATTTCACTTATTTATGAGGTCACATAGTCAATTTGAGCACATGATGCATGTTTATTGTATTACCATTTATATATTGGGGCACATTTTATATTTTTTGCACCAGTTTGGTATTTATGTATTTTATATTTTCAGCACTGCACTATTTTTTGAAAATATTATTTATCACTGTTAAGGTATCAGTTTAGAGTGTCAGCAGCGGATATCTATAGGAATATTTATCACTTCCTTTTGGGCGTAGGAGGACTTCCTTCATATTCTAATGCATACAGTATATACTGTTATATATTTTTATATGCACTGATCTTTCAACTTTGATTTCCAGTAACACTTACCATGATTATATACCAGTTATTCACCACCGTCAGTTCAAATAATGTTACTACAAGAGAGACAACAAGTTCAGACAAAATATAATGACAGAAATAACAAATATTTGTATCAAAACCCATAGCACCACATTGTTTCTCAGTTCTACCCTGAGCAACCCTAAACAGGTCAGGATCTACCCTGTCTGCCACAAGTGACTGAGGGCATGTATCAATGAGCTTATGTTTATGGAAAAAATGCCTCTCTCCCGCATACAAGTCAATGGGAACACAAAAGCAGCTTAAAGTATAACTAAAGGCAAAACTTTTTTTTAGATTTGGATTGAGTGCAGAAGGATTAGAATGCTTGTCACTTTTTATTGCTATCTGTGCTATCAGTTAGGGAGATTCACACTATTTGTCCGGTTTACCATTATCATTGAAAGTGAAAGTAAAAAAAAAAGCCCAATTTTGGGTTGTCACCAGAAAACTAATAGAGGGGAAATCTTCCAATAAGGACACTAGTTTTGGTGACCTAGGGGTCCCCAAGGAAATCACTTTATTTGCAGGGTTTTGTTTTTGCATTTCCTGTTTGGCTATGGGATAGGACGTGAAAGGAAATCTCCACAATAGGACACTGCTGGCGACAATTGTCATTATTTTATCTTATGAAGGGTTATTTTATTACAACTACACAAAGCTAATTTTTTTTTTCACTTTCTTCAACAGAAACCTATTGAAACTAATAGTTATCACAAGCCCAAAGCGCACGGTATTTAAAAGACCCACTCCAGGCAAAAATCTATAATTAGTAGACCGTATGCACACATTTGCTATGTTGGCTCCCTTCACCTCTTAGCAGCTGTGTATTCATCTAATCTTCCAAAGGCATTTCCTGTCCAAGGGACCAGACATTTATGCCTGTTGCATGTGCATTAGGAGGACCAGTCCCCCCATTGCCACCTTGTTTGTACTTTGGTCAAGCTGACATAACCATATCAGTACAAACCAAGCTTTGGGCAGGTTTATTAAAATTAGTCTGCTTCTGTCTGCTTGTTATATCCACTGCCATCCAGCTCTACTCACTGATGACCTCCTCTGCTTCTTTCCATAGTTCTGCCTCACTGTATCGGCACACTCTCAGCTTTACCTTCTCCACTTTTGAGTGTGCTGGTGCTGCATGTTGCCCAGCAACTCAGGACAGTAACAGATGAAAGCAGGACATTTGACTCTCTTACTTCATGCTAACATTTGCGTGACTTTTTCTGCTAATGTTCAGCACCTTATACTGTTCTACACTGTATGCTGCCCAGCAGCTCAGGACACTGATAGGTGTAAGCAGGACATCTGACTCTCCTACATGCTGTCAACGTTAGCCTGAATATCTGCTTATGTTAAGCACCCTGTGCTATTATCCACTGCACAGATACTAGGTGCTGCAGAATGCCGTTCAGCAAAGAATAGCTGCTGTTCTCTGATTGTGATAACTCTCTTTGCCTGTGTCCTACCCACTGTAATATTACACACTACACATGAACTAGTAGCTGCTAAACTGTGTCCTGTAGTTTCTAGTCTCATTACAGTGGAGAATAGCTCAAAACCGTGTGCACTGTTCAGTGGGTAATAGCACAGTGGGCAGGTCACAACTAGAGGAAGGCAGAACATGCAGAGCACAGCAGCTTTTCTCTGATGAACGGCATTCTGCAGCTGCACAGTAAAGAATAGCAGAGAGAGAAGGACAAAGGCAGAAAGAGGCAGGACAAATAGAGAAAAGCAACTTCTCTCTTCTAAACAACGTTCTGCAGCTGCTGTTTTCTGCACAGGGAGAAGGACACAGCAGACAGAAGGAGGACATATACAAAACAACTCTGCTTAATGGCATTCTGCAATTGCTGTTTTCTGTACAGTGGAGAATAGCATAGAGGGCTGAACACAAGAAATGAGAGCCAGGCAAATGATGGCAGCAGGTAGAAGAGTCCAATGCACTGCTTTCACCTCTATGTCCTGAGCTGCTGAGCAACATGCAGCACTGCAACATTCAACAGTGGAGGAGGAAGCAGTGCTTAATAGGGCATCAGTGAACTGGACGACAAAGACAATTACTCCACTGACACCACCCACAGACTTGTCCAAGCAATGCCCAACTAGCAAACGAACATCCCAATGCACATTGGGATGTTAGAAATCAGGGGACCAATATCAATGATGCTTTTGGAAAGTTATCCTGAACTGGAGTTGACCCACTTGACCTCCGGAAGATTTACTCCCCCCCCCTTCATGACCAGGCCATTTTTTGCGATACGGCACTGAGTTACTTTAACTGGCAATTGCACAGTCACGCAGCGCTGAAATAAATCTAGCAGATCGCCGTTGACAAAACACAGCTCTGTCTTGTTTACATAGCAGAGCTGTGTTCTGTCAGTCTCCTCAGAGATCAACAGGCGCTCATTCACTGGCCGGCACCTGTTGATCGGCTTCTGCTGTGTCCAATCACAGCGCTGCTCTGGCGGCAGGTGCATGCCACCCAGTGGCGGAAGTGTAAAATCAGTAAATCTGCTATAGGGCAGACAGGGAGTTGTTAAAGAAGAGACAGCCCATGTGAGATTGTTATTGAACAGAAATTTACACCCAAAAATGAGATAATGTAACATGCAGGCAGGAAAAATAGCTCATCTGAGCAGTAATGTCATTAGGTAATTAAAAAAAAAAAATAAACAGAAAAACAGAAAAAAAAATTAAGGAAGCTATTGCATGCATTATGCTTTTTTTTTTAACTAATTAAATTAAGTCAGAACATATATAATATATAAATACAGAATGGTTTATACCCTTCCCTCTTACCAAAGCTGATGAGGATGTTGTCAAAGTTATTTAGATAGTAGTAACCTTCATCCATCTGGGTATGGTTGCCCACAGTGTGGTTAAGGAAACGATAAGAATCTGCCACTGTGCTAGTACTGAGGAAACATGATAACAAACAACATCACATAATTAATGACTGACACAAATTATAAAGTAAACAGTAAAAGCTCAAACTAGTCATTAATCCATTTTATTATGGAAGGAATAGGCTCAATAGTGATGACCTATGATAAATAAGGATTTCTGCATTACCTGTAAAATCATTTTCTTTGAGTCCAGTACAGGACACAGGCTACTTTAGCCTTGCCTGTGCGTTATACAGTTATGGCCAAAAATATTTGCACCCCCATTTCTATCAGATAATGCACTACTTTGCCCAGAAAATTGTTGCAATTACAAATATGTAGGCATTCTTATGTTTATTTCTTTTGTTTGTATTGATATGACACAAAAAAGTGGAGAAACAAAAAAATAAATCTGACATTCCACGCAAAACCCCAAAAACAGACTGGACACAATTATTGGTACAATAAATTTATAATTTAGTAGCGCACCCCTTGGAAAAAATAACTGAAATCAATCGCTTCCTGTAACCATCAATGAGTTTCTTACACATCTCTATTGGAATTTTGGACCACTCTTCTTTCACCAACTGCTTCAGGTCTCTCAAGATTGGAAGGGTTCCTTTTCCCAACCAATCAGCTGTTATGAGATTTCTCCATAGGTGTTCTATGGGATTGAGATCTGGACTTATTTGCTGGCCAGTTCAGTACTCTCCAGTGCTTTTTCTGAAACCATTCTGGGTGCTTTTTGATGTGTGCTTTGGGTCATTGTCCTGCAGTAAGACCCATGACCTCTGATGGAGACCCAACTTTTGTATTTCAATGATTTTTATTAATTTATAACACTTAATACAGGAGCAACAAATCACACCCACACAGGGGCTATCAATTGCACATAGAAGAATTAGAAAATTAGAGAGATCAGTGCTCTAACACCAACAGGGCAAAAGATACGCCCACAGAGGGGCCATCAATGGCACTTAAATAACAAAACATAAATATAACACTGATAATAACTCAGACTAAAAGGCAGCTATCCACTGCCTCACCAAAAGCAAACAGGGAAAAAGAGGGGGGGGGGGGGGGGGGGGGGAAGGAAGGAAAAATACAAAAGAAAAAAGATAACCAAACCAAGAGCAGGGATCCAAGAATGCCAAAGCCGAAAACATCACATCCCCAGGCTAGCCGGTGGGAGCGTGGGAAAGGTATATTGCAACCACGGCTCCCATATTTTCAATAATTTACATTGGGAGTCGTTGCAGATACTCGAAATCTGTTCATTGAGCATCATCTCCTAGATTGTAAGCTCGAAAGAGCAGGGCCCTCGAACCCCTCGTGTATTGTATTGTTTCTGTCTTGTCTCATGTTCTGTCCCCCTTGCTATTGTACAGCGCTGAGCAAACCCTTTGGCGCTATATGAATACTGTATAATAATAATAATAGTGGTCATACGGTCCCGCACCCCCTGAAGAGGCACAAACAGGCGCTTCCAGGCCTGAGCAATTGTTCTAGAGGCCGACAAAAACAAATAGGAAGCCAACTTCTGCTGATGAGACAAGAGGCCCGGTATGGGACAATGAAGCAAAGCATATCGAGCATCCCGTCGTATAGAGAGATGGAACAAGGTGAAAAGGAGGCCAAACACACGAGACCAAAAATGAAGCAGCCTCGGGCATGACCACCAGATATGCAATATATCACCACGATGGCCGCAACCCCGAAAGCATTCGATCACTGCAGGCAGGGTTCGCCTGTGCCAAACGAGCCGGAACCCAGTACCAACGAAACAATACCTTGTAGGCCACCTTCAGCGTGGTCATACTAAAGAGAAGACCCAACTTTTGACACTGGGCCCTACACTGCACTTCAGAATTCTTTTGGTAGTCTTCAGATTTCATAATGCCATGCACATTGTCAAGACATCCAGTGCCTGAAGCAGCAAAGCAACCCCAAAATATTAGTGAACTTCTACCATGTTTGACTGTAGAGACTGTATTCTTTTCTTTAAAGACCTCATTTCTTTTTCTGAAACCAGTAGAATGATGGGCCTTACCAAAAAGCTGTAGTTTTGTTTCGTCTGTCCGCAGCACATTCTTCCAAAAGGCTTTTGGCTTCCTCAGGTAAGTTGTGGTAAACGCCAATCTGTTTTTTTTATGTTTCTGTGTCTGCAGTGGCGACCTCCTGGGTCTCCTACCATAGAATCCCTTTTCATTCGGATGGCAACAGATAGTGTGAGCTGACACAGTTGTACCCTGTGCCTGAAGGTCAGCTTGAATTTTGTCTGGAAGTTGATCAAGGCTCTTTAGCCACCATTTGATCAATCCTTCGTTGTGATATTTAATCACTTTTTCTCTTTCGTACATGTCCAGGGAGATTAGCTACAGTGCCATGGGATGTACACTTCTTGACAAATAGGCGCACAGTGGACACAGGAACATTAGGATCTCTTGAGATGGACTTGTACCCTTGAGATTGACCATGCATTTCCACAATTTGTGTTCTCAAATCCTCAATTTATTTGCTGCTCTTTCTCTTCTTCATGCTCCATGTGGCACACAGACACACCCAAAAGAAGAGGTGAGTCAATTTTTTAGCATATTAACTGGTTGCTGGTATAATTTCTATATTGTCAGCACCTGTTAATTGATACAGGTGAGTTTAATTACAAATTACAGGAGCATCACAAACTTGGAATGCAATTATTTCATACAATTTTGAGAAGGTGCCAATAATTTTGTCCAGTCCTTTTTTGGGGTTTGTGAGGTATGTGTCAGAATTGGATATTTGCTTCTCCTCCTTTTTTGTGTCATACCAAAACAAACAAAAGAAACAAACATGAGAATGCATAAAAGTTTGTAACTGCAACAATCTTCTGGGAAAAGTGGTGCTTTATATGACAGAAATGCAGGGGTGCCAATATTTTTTGCCATGACTGTATGATGCCACTTTCAGGTGAGGACACCAAGTTATTAAAAAAGTGCATATAAAACCCCTATCTGTCCCAGCAATCCTCAGTATTTTTTTATCAAGCAATTAGAGGAAACTCTACAGCACTTCAGGCTTTCCTCTGCTGACCAGCTTTATGAAGCTGCTGATTTCATTTTCCAGCAGGACTTGGCACCTACTCACACTGCCAAAAGTACTAATACATGGTTTAATGATCATGGTATCACTATGCTGGATTCGCCAGCAAACTCGCCCTATAGAGAACCTGTGGAGTATTGTCAAGAGGAAGATGAGAGACACCAGACCACACAATGCAGACGAGCTGAAGGCCGCCATCAAAGCAATCTGGGCTTCCAGCACCTCAGCAGTGCCACAGGCTGATCGCCTCCATGCCACACCGCATTCATGCATTTATCATTGCAAAAGGAGCCCCGACCAAGTATTGAGTGCATACTATACTGTACATGGGCATACTTTTCAGTAAGCCAATATTTCTGTATTAAATATCCTTTTTTATTGGTCTAATATTCTAGTTTTAGGAGTTACAGAATTTTGGGTTTTCACTAACTGTAAGCCATAATCATCAAAATTAAATTAAAAAAAAAAAAATGCTTAAAAGAAATCACTGTGTGCTGAATGAATCTATATATGAGTTTCACTTTCTGAATTTAATTACTGAAATCAATCAACTTTTTGATAATATTCTAATTTGTGCATGCATTTGTACATGCTCCTTTAAGTCTTGACGATGGGACATCTCCAAGCAAAACAACAGACAACACAGCAAACAATGCCAACATGGCAAAACAAGGGAATCAGGTTCTCAGATCAAGGATCAACTTGAAGCACCTTACTACCAAAGAAGGTATAAGAAGAGGCCTGTGCACCCACCTGGTAAAACTTCACAAACAAGTGAACAGAAGACCAGGTGGCAACCTTGAAAATTTGGGAAACAGATGCCTGGTGCTGAAAAGATCAACAGGCCCCTACAAAACAAGTCACGTGAGTCTATACTTCAAGGCATAAACCTTATTAATAACCTACCTAGAGACAGTGGAACAAGATGCAGGACAGTCCATGCGAAAGTCCACAGATAGGACAAATAGAAAATACGAAGTTTGGATAAAAGCAGTGGTTGAGAAAAACTAACTGTGCTTATGATACCTTAACAATATGGAGAGACAGCTTTAGAGCACAACAAAGAGAAGATTGGATGCGGTCTTTGTGACAGTCCCATCCAGGACAGGGTCTTTTCAAGAGGACTGCAGTCTAGCCTCTTGCCTACTGACCATGGGCCCTGGCATCTGAGGGGGGATCTGTTCTTTGGGAGGTGTGCACCTAAAGGGACCTTTTGGAGTAGTTTTACTTCAAATTCAAGTCCATATCTCCCGGAAACACACAGACTGCTTCAACCCCCCTCCTAGACTCAGAGCAGATGTTAATACAGTATATTCAGTTCAACCTGATGCTGAGGTCTCTTGCTGTATGTTTACGAAGTTGTGATGTGTTTATCGTTGTGTATTTGTTCCATCGTTAATTGAGTCACCTATTGTTTCTGTCTCTTGGTTAGTCCTCCTGGAGGTTCCTACATGATGAGATTAGTCTTGTGTCAACTTGACATCGTTATCTAATCAGCAATGGATGATTTTATTGTTCTTGTGGGGAATTGTCCCTATTTCAGAAGTGAATAAAAACCTGTATTTCCATTCAATTCCAGTTGCACCTAAACTAGTGTCATCCAGTCCTTGGGTGCAATGCATAGCTACCTTGGCCCGGTGTCCCAGTGGCGAGGAAGCAATTCACTGATGGAAGCACCCAGGCGGGGTGCCAGACGGTCCGTCACAGTCTTGAATAAGCTGGAAGGAGGAAACCACCTTAGGGAGAAACAAGGCCTAAGGCTTCAAAACCACCATGTCTTTATGAAGAACAAAAAAGTTTTTTTTTTTTTTTTTTTACAGGATAAAGCCACCAGCTCTGACACCGATCTTGCTGGCATGATAACCATGAGAAAAACCTCAAAGGGAGGCTTCTGTAGAGCCAACAGGACCAAATTGACAAGGTGAGACAGGTGTATGAACAGGGGA